ATGGCAGATGAGGAAGGGTCATAGGAGAGGAAGGGTCATGGCAGATGAGGAAGGGTCATAGGAGAGGAAGGGTCATGGCAGATGAGGAAGGGTCATGGGAGAGGGCCATGGCAGATGAGGAAGGGTCATGGGAGAGGAAGGGCCATGTCAGATGACGAAGGGTCATTACAGATGAGGAGAGGTCATGGGAGAGGAAGGGTCATGGCAGATGAGGAAGGGTCATGGCAGATGAGGAAGGGTCATGGGAGAGGAAGGGTCATGGCAGATGAGGAAGGGTCATAGGAGAGGAAGGGCTATGGCAGACGAGGAAGGGTCATGGGAGAGGAAGGGCCATGGCAGATGAGGAAGGAAACTGGGAGAGGAAGGGCCATGGCAGATGAGGAAGGGCCATGGGAGAGGAAGGGACATGACAGATGAGGAAGGGTCATGGGAGAGGAAGGGCCATGGCAGAGGAAGGGTCATGGCAGATGAGGAAGGGTCATGGGAGAGGAAGGGTCATGGGAGAGGAAGGGACATGACAGATGAGGAAGGGTCATGGGAGAGGAAGGGCCATGGCAGAGGAAGGGTCATGACAGATGAGGAAGGGTCATGGAGGAGTTGGTCAGAGTATTGGAAAGGGTCCTTAGACTAAGGGCTACTACACACGGTAAAGAGTCATGGGAGAGAAAAGACAATGACAGACATGAAAGGGTCATGGGGGCACTCGTTAGATGAAGGGTCATGGGAGTATCCTTTGGAGGAAAAAATATGGTGAGATAGGGAAAGGTTATGACAGATGAGGAAGGGTCATGGGAGAGGAGGGGCCATGGGAGAGGAGGGGTCAAGACAGACGAGGAAGGTTCATGACAGATGAGGAAGGGTTATGGGAGAGGAAGGGACATGACAGATGAGGAAGGGTCATAGAAGAGGAAAGGCCATGACAGACAAGCAAGGGTCATGGGAGAGGAGGGGCCATGGGAGAGGAGGGGCCAAGACAGACGAGGAAGGGTCATGACAGATGAGGAAGGGTCATGGGAGAGGAAGGGTCATGACAGATGAGGGGTCATGGGAGAGGAAGGGTCATGACAGACGAGGAAGGGTCATGGGAGAGGAAGGGACATGACAGATAAGGGAGGGCCCTGACAGGTGAGGAAGGATCATGGGAGATGAAGGGTCATGACAGATGAGGAGGGGTCATGGGAGAGGAAGGGTCATGACAGACGATGGTGAGAAAAGAGGCCATGACAGACTGGAAAGGGCCATGGGGGCACTGGTTACAGGAAGGGAGAGTTCGGCCCAGTTCGCAGGTTGGGCCTGTCACTGACCCCCGGGGTATGGAGCCTTATGAGGCAGGTTCGACCTATCACTGACCCCCAGGGTATGGAGCCTTATAAGGCAGATTCGACCTATCGCTGACCCCCGGGGTTATGGAGCCTCATAAGGCAGGTTGGGCCTATCGCTGACCCCCAGGGTATGGAGCCTCATAAGGCAGGTTCGACCTATCGCTGACCCCCGGGGTAATGGAGCCTCATAAGGCAGGTTGGGCCTATCGCTGACCCCCTCTGGGGTTATGGAACCTCATAAGGCAGGTTGGGCCTATCGCTGACCCCCTGGTATGGAACCTCATAAGGCAGGTTGGGCCTATCGCTGACCCCCTGGTATGGAACCTCATAAGGCAGGTTGGGCCTATCTCTGACCCCCTGGTATGGAACCTCATAAGGCAGGTTGGGCCTATCGCTGACCCCCTGGTATGGAACCTCATAAGGCAGGTTGGGCCTATCGCTGATCCCCTCTGGGGTTATGGAACCTCATAAGGCAGGTCGGGCCTATCGCTGGCCCCCGGGGTTTTGGAGCCTAAGGCAGGTTGGGCCTATGGCTGACCCCCGAGGACTATGGAGCCTCATCACACATGATTTGGGGTTTATATACAAGGGAAGGGAGTTGTGTTTCCTCATCAGACATTTTACTTCATATCATTGTCTTTATTGTCACCATTTTCTCTGGTCACGTGGTCCTGAATTTCACCGCCATCACAATAAAAGACGCCCCGCCCCCCTCACTGTGGTTCCCTGACCTAAAATAGGGCGCGAAAGCATCGACGAGAAAAAAAAACAAAGCCGTGACGCCCAAGCCCGACGACAGCCTCGGCCCTCCCCCAACCCTTGACGGAAAGCTCCTGCAGCCAATGGCAATTAACTGCGCTCGCAATTCCAGCCAATGTCCGCCGCGGAATCAGGGACCTCCCGCCGAGTCTTCGACTGACGTTTTTGTGGGCCAATAGCTGCGCTGCTGGGGCAGCCGAACGCCAATAGCACGACAGGAGGGGCGTGTCCCTTTCCGAGGGGATGCTTGTGCCGTGTAATGGAGTCTCAGTCGGTGAGCGGCCATTGAGAGAGAAGGGAGCTGTGTGTTGAGCGGCTCGGCAGGGACGGATCGCTTCGGCGCCTTTAATTTCCCTTCGGTGGTCGTTGTTCGGTCTGGTGAGGCCGCCCGGCGGGTGTGCAGCTGTCCGGTGTGACCCCCTCGGAAGGTGGGACCGGGAAGATGGAGATGAAGAAGCGCATCGCCCTGGAGCTGAGGAACCGATCCCCGGCTGAGGTGAGACCGCTGCGCTTCCCCCTCCTCCATGGGGGACCCCTGAGGGCCAATGCGGGGGGTTCAGGGGACCCTCATGGCTCCTCCATGCGGAGAGTTCATCTGTGACTGCTGAGTGAAAGTTTTCGTGTAGAGGGAGGAGAGAGAGGGAGGGGCCTCAATGGTTGCTGAGGGGCCACCAGAGCCCCCCACAGGCC